AGATATTCTACTAAGCTCGCAAAACAATTGGATTGCTATTAGCACCACAGCGGCAGACAAAATCAAATGCTTGCGTCGCGCTGAAAGACAGCGCAATCGTTAATTATAGATGAGAATCTAGCTGAGGTTTTCATGCCAGCTTCCCCTCTTGAAGTGATACCCATCGGTGCTGCCATGAAAGGGATACAGAGAGTAGGTGGGTTTTTAATGGGTGCAAGTACCACACTTTTCGGCTTTTAATGCTTTACCCTCCTATAGAACAAAAAAAAAACAAAAAGACACACACGCACACAAACACACTCACCCGTACCAGAACCGACGCCATTACAGTCCGCGGAGTGGGCGACTGTCCATATGCCGATATGCTCGGGCTCGTGAAAGGAGAGCCGGCCCTCAAGCACCTAAGTGGCACACCACAAATGAGCTACAAGAAGCTGTGGGAAAGACCTTGGGTGACCGGGCAATAGTGAGAACGTTGACTGAGACGTTCCAGTTGGTCTGTCTGAATACGTGCAATCGACCAACCAAAGCGATACGTTAAATGCCAGGGCTTTGGTACCGCGAGGCAATACGTAAAATGAAATGTTAAGGTTATTTCAAATAAATCTTAACCACAGCATAGCTGCTCAAACCCTCTTAGAGCAGACTGTTAGCGAAATGCGCATCGGTATTGCCATTATCAGCGAATTGCCATTATCAACTGCCCGAGAATATGGAATGCGGATCGGGATGGAAAAGCTGCGCTCTGTGTATGTGGCGACCCTTCGACATCGCTGACGAATACAAAGCCCTTTACTGTGTTTGTACGCGCACAATACGGCAGCTGCTACCTGGCTCCGAGCATGCAGCTTAGCAAATTTCAAGCTGCATTTGACGCATAAGTAAATGACGCAAGGAAGCGGGAGGTCATAATTGCGGGTGACTTCAACGCCTGGGTAGTGGAATGTGGCAGCCAAGCAAGTAACGCAAGAGGTCGTGCCCTGTTGGAAAGCTTCGCAGCCCTGGCTATAGCCTTTCTAAACTCCGGGTCGGAAAACACCTTTAGTCGGGGTGGTATCGGATCAAAAATCCATCTTACCTTCGCAAGCTCGTCACTTTTCGGCGAAACAAAACGGGAACTAAGCGACGTATGTACCGCAAGCGACCACTCCGCAATAGTATGCACGATTGGTGAAGGAACTGCAACCAGAACGGGAAGTCTAAGTCGGAAAGTTTAACGCTTGGATACTTTCGAACGCAGTCCAATCGCTGCCACAGTCAGCAACGCAGAGAGTAAAGCCTCCCAAATGGAAAATCAATTAACACGTGTCTGTGATGAAAATATGGAAACCCAAAAAACGATTCGGCGCCACTATGTATCCACATACTGGTGGTACGAAAATATTGCCGAAACGCGGCGAAACTGCATCCAAGCCAGAAGGATGTACCAGCGAGCCCGAGGTAGACGCAACTATGCCAAAGAACAACCATGGTATTAAAGGGCCAGAAAACTGCTAATGAAGTCCATACGAGAAAGCAAGCGAGAATGCTTTCTGGAACTATGCGACTCAGCAGAATATGATCCTTGTGGCCAGTTATATAAGACCGTCGTCAAAAGACTCTACGCCGGCAAGCAAACGCAGCCTTCTGGTCCAGGGGAGCTTAAGTTGATTTTGGAAAAGCTATTCCCAATCAGACCCGACGTACTATATACGTAAACAAGCCCATCGAGCCATGCAGCAGCCACGCCGGTGGTTATCGACGAAGTCTCAGTCGATGAGATGCCAAATTTGCTTCGGACAGGCAGGCAACCTAAATGCACACAAACGCATAAGTACTTCCATCCATATAGAAAAGTGTGTAAGTGTGTGTGCTTGGCAGGCCCAAAAAGTTATTATGCACACATACCAACGCTCAGGAACCCTTCCCATCAACAAGCATGAAAAATAGGAGTTTGTACATTTAATGGCAAACCCTTTAATAATTTTATATAACTGCTTCCTCGAAAGAGTGTGCGTGCGCACAAGTAGCAAGTGGCAAAATTTGAAAATTTCAAAATGGTCTTTTTTAGAATTCTTTGGCAAGCCGACGATGAATTACCCTTGTTCCTAGGTTCCCACAGTAAACACAAAATTAGAATATAAAATATGAATATTTTATTCAGGTCACCACAGGCACAAATGACATACAATTATAGAAAAAATCTCTGGTCGCGACAAACGCCGTGATCTACTTGTGCGCACATCCACACAACACAAACATATGTATGTTTGTAGATCTCGGGGTTTTTGAGAAGCTATGCAGGGAGAATGAGAGGCTCACATAGCAATGAGTTTGAGCGAGGCATACTCTAAACATGCATACATAAGAAATTTAAAACTAACATACATATATTATGAAAAGGGATCAGTCGCAGCGACGTTGTGCGAGATGTGGTTTCATACGGATCATTCGGCTTTCGAGGCCGGAGCTTGGCTGCCACTGTCAGCAGTCTTACTCTCTCTGGGCATAATACAATAGTCGCAGGCAGTCTTGGGGTTCCCTCGTTGCCCGTTGCGTATCTATGTATTGTATGGTTAGTGCTTTCCCATAATCGATAACAAACAATTTCTTTCTTGCATAGATATATACTAAAATACGCCTTTCTAATAGAAATCAATAGTAGAGATTTGCTCGAAACCTAAAGAGACATAATCAAAATTTTTAACGACATGGGAAACCCGTTAGAAATCAAAGCCGACAAAAATTCAGCTTTAATGTGCGCTGCACTACAATAATGGTTGAACTCAGAAGGTGTAATTATCAATATAACAACAAGCAAAAAAGGAATTCCGGATGTTGAGAGATTTCATAAGGCGGTAAAAGAAAAGCTAAGCGTTATCAAATCAACAGTGATTCCAATACCGAAAGCCAAATAACTACATATGAAATAATTCTTTATACATACAATCACAAAACCATACATAATACAACTGGTAGGCCCCTAGTTGACATATTTATATACGCAGGAACCAAATTCAAAAAGCAAAAGTTGACTACAAATTAAAATGAACAGCCGATGATCAAACGAACCAAGAGAGTTCAAATTAAATACACTTCATTTATAATAATGTTCGTAATTTATTTGCCTTGCTCGAAACATAAAATGTCAAAGTTTATAGGTCAACCCCATTTAAGCTTAGAATGGCTATCTTATATTTAAAAATTGGATCTAGCTGACTCGAGCAACTGGGTGAGCTGATAATCATCAATGGCGGTGACCTCATAGCGCTCGGTTTATTTTGTAAGGCCCCCGGTATTTGGGTAAAAACTTCTGGCAGGGTCCTGCTGCGACGTTAATATTTCGTATTGCAACAAAATCTCCTACTTTGTATTTGGGAGCTGGCATATGTCTTAAAGCATTTTGGGTTTCATTACGTACTTGGGATTTTCGTATATTTCCACTTGCTTCGTGTCAATTATATTTAAATTAAGAGGTTTAACGGTGCTACAATTTGACAAATTTGGTAAACGCATCGATAATTACTAATAAATGCTTGCGTATTGAAATAACACTGGGCAATGTACCCAAATGGTCAATATGAAATGTATCAAGCGGAACTGGCTTTTATGGTATGCTTTGTAGTGAATTGTTCTCGGGACGGAATGTAGTATACAGGTCAGTCAGTTTCTAATATATGACTCTATTTTGCATTTTATTAAGGGGAACCAGTGTTTTCTTTTCAGATCATTGGCACACTTATCTGCAGAAAAATGACCCAACTTCTCATGGCAAATCCTTATCAACTTATTCTGCATACCTTCACTAGTTCTCTTATACTATATACCATCAACTAACTCAATATTGGCTACATAACCATTTCTCACGCAATACATGTACATCCAAATCTCTCATTTGTTCAGTCTGTAACAATAAGTCGATATCTTCTGGTGTAGCTCCCCTCGGAATCATTCAACGACTTACTTTTCGATAGGACATAATACAGTAGAGCTGGAAAACAATCGATGGGACTATCGATTATATCGATGTTTTTGGTGTTTTGAGAACCATCGATGTTTTTTGGGAACCAAAATTAAATGTTTTCCTAGCTCTAAAACTTTTTCAGCAAGAGAAAGCGACAAGTAAAATAATGTTAAATTAAAAACATTTTTAATTTAGCTGTTTCCATTAGATTTGTATTTAAGGTGGTGTTTGGGTATAGCAGTCGATGGAAAATTATTAATTATTATTAAAAATTATGGAAAAATACGTAAAAAGTAAGTTTTAAACTCCACTTTTTTAATATTTAAATATTTATTTTATCGTATTTATTTTAAAAGTTACAACATCCGTGGCAGATTTTGAAGGCTCAAGAAAAATTTCTTTCAGTGCTTCCAATGCCGATGAAGCGGCTAAAGCTTTAAAACAAGAAATATTTTCCATTATGTCAAATGACTCACTCCAGCCATCGGCTCCACCAGCAACCCCTCTGCAGGAAAACAAACCAAAAAAAGTTTTTACTTTCTTGGAAAGTACAATAACTCAAAAATTGCAATCAACGCGGTCGGATGCAATTATTATTTTGAGAGAATATTTTGAGAAACCCAACGAACCGAAGGACCGAAATCCACTTGTATATTGGATGGTAATATAGTTTAGTTATTGTTAATACAATCTACAAGTAAAATTGTAAAAGCAGAATCAGAAAGAACATTTAGCAAAGCTGGTCAGATAATTTCAGATCGAATGTGTTCGCTGAAGCCGGCTGGAACATGTTATTATTTTTATGTAAAAACACGAACGAATTTTAATATTAGTATGATCTCACGTGAAATGTATCGGAAATGCTAGTTATTTTTAGAGAATATATAATTTTGTTTCTTTTTAATATAACTATTGTCTTATTATTTTATATTTTTTGAAAATATCGATAGTATCGATTTTTTACTTAAAAACAATCGAAAACATAGATTTTCTCTGATATCGATATTTTTCCAGCTCTATAATACAGGCTCTAGGACGGTTCTAGTAATGCACACAGGTTATGGTTATTCTCCATATGACGATCAGACGGGATTACACACGAGTCGATGATCTCCTCAGTATCATTTTCCATTAATTCAGCTTGCCTACTTAGAGCGTCTACGTGGGTCATATTCGAACCAGGTCGGTGGGTTATCGAAAATTTATAAGCTGATAACTCTAATGAAGCATGGCATTAAAATTTCTCAAAAGTGATTGTCATTTTCCAATCGAGCGGCTTTGCAATCGTTTTACAACCTCGTGATTGGCTATCGCAAGGCCGAATACATTGACTAGAGAATCACTTAGCTCCTTCCAGGTTTTCGGCATTTCGTACATCATAGACTCCATGGCTTAGCCGCGTTATATACGGTTTGCAAGTGACCAGCTCGTTTTTAAATGGCTGTTCCAAAATTTGACCTGACCTAAAACTTTTAGCATTCAAATCCACAGCTACTGACGTTCTCGTGGACTCTTCTTTGGCGACACACAATATCTCAACAGTCTCGGCCATTACTGATTTTACCAGAGTAAGCAAATGGTAGATAGACGCTTCGTTGCACACAGGGACTCCTTTCTCTGCAATCAGCTTGATGATATCGGCGGATAGCATTAATCAGATAACTTTTGGGTGAGCCTCACACCTGATTTGTAGTCTGCTTTATTTTTATTTTCTTTTTCTTCTTTTCTTAGAGTGCCCAACTTCTATTTATAAAAATACCTATATACCGCTTATACTACTATCGCTCAACACCACTAAATGTTGTGACTGTTGAATTAAAAAAGTTTACATTAATGTTCACTGTTTACAATAGTAATAATGTTAATAATATATTTCAAAGGCATTCCCAACAAAATAATTGTAAAATCCATAGAACAAAAAGAGCCACCACAAAATACAAATATTGCAAACCTGCTAGAAAATATAAATTTATAAAAAAATGAAGAATGCAGGCTGAAGCGATATGCCCAAATAAACAAAGCAAGCTCGATCACGACCTTACGCTCACGACCTTATTCTTGATCAGCTTCAATAGCCGAGTCGATTTAGCCATGTCCGTCTGTCGGTCCGTCCGTCTGTCCGTATGTATGACCGCAAGGATATCAGAACCTATAAGAGCTAGATAATTGAAATTTTAGCTGTAGGTCCTCCTAAACCCGCGTAGAATTTGTTTCCGATATTCGATAGCTTGCCCCGTTTTCAAGTAATCGATCAAAATCGATATAGAAATCCTGTTTTTTAACAAATCTCGTAAAGTATAAGAGCTATGACCACCTTCCCGCTACTACCTCTTACCTATAAATCAAGTAAAAATACTAAAGCAATTTATGCTGCCCACCAATATAAACCACATTTTAGGTGCAATTGACATTTTGATAATAGTACTGTAGTAAATTTCATCAAGATCGGTTAAGAAACACAGAAATTATTAAATAAAACATATTTTGCTGGCCTCGAGTTTGGGGCAGCAAGCGCAACTTCCAAGAATTTCTGTATACATGTATACACACACATTCATGCGCGTCTGCTTTGATTTCTATCAACAGCATTGCAATTGTATTGTTTTCTGTGCTGCTATTTTAACTCGTTTTTTTCTCATTAAGACTCAATTATTGGTGTGACTCTTGTGTAGAGTCGGCAGCAAGTAATGCGGTCAGTTGCGAGTTCGAACCCTGCCGAGGGGACTTTTTTTATTTTTTTTTTAATTTATCTTTATTGCCACAAACGAGCGCGAAGCATGAGCTGCATTTGGTGTTGGCATAAGAGGATTCAGGGTATCCCCTAGTCAGGAGCTCCCGACTAGATCCTTACTTGTTTTAAACTGAATTACGCGACTTTTCAATTAAATATATTATTGGGTCGGAGATACGATCTTCTGCCTTTTCAATACATATGCACAAAACTATACTACACTTTTTACCCATTTTTAATGCGTTCAGGGCATACAAATACGAGCCTTCTGGACCTGAGAACACTTATTCTTTGGAAAGAAACAAATGATCGCGAACAGGAGCTAGTTGAACATATATCTTATTTACTTGAAATCTTTTATTTTTCGTAATAATGCGGTTTCTAAGAATGTTAATGATGCAGAATTACTCATTATATCATTCTTTATATTGTTTAAAAATTTCATAATCATATCCTGTATCCATTTTACGTGAGAAGATAATTTTTTCTGAACTTTAAACCTTAGACGCTATTTCTAATTTTATTTTTTATTTTTTTTTTTATTAAAAATGTATATATATTTTATTGTTAACAAGATCACTACTACCTAATATGGCAGCTTAAGCTAGTTATATATGGGGGAAAACATTAAACAAGACTTACTACTAATTAGTCTAAGGTGTATAAGGCTATAAAGCGAAAAGTTTTATTTTTATATTCTGCAGATTATTTATTATATTATATATTTTATTAAAGAGACATGTCTTATAGGACCCTGTTAGGTAGATCCAGTGGATGGCACCGTTTAAGTCTTCTCTTTCTGGCCTTAGAGAGACAGACTCCTGTAATGGGGCACCTTATTTTAGTTCTCCCAGGAGAAGTTAGGCGCCATGCTAGTGGGCTGAGATGAGAGCGAAGGCGATCAAAGTATCTTTTGGCATTCCTCCCAGGTCTCTCTCGATGTCCCTCGTACGCATATACCAAGGAGCATTACTTATCGCTCTGCACTACTCTTATTTTTTTGAGGTGGGATTTTGCGGCAATCCCGTACATTTGCAGTGCATAGGTCCATATAGGAGTCAGTATTGATTTGTAAATCCTTACTTTGTTTTTAAGCGAAAGCTTGTTTTTAGCAGAAAGTAGCCATGTCATCTTTGTAGCTTTAGACAAAACTGTTTGATGAACCATCGTGACATGTCTGCTGAACGTGAGCTTTCTGTTCAAAATGACTCCGAGGTATTTGTGTGTGGGTTCATGCTTTAAAGTGGAGCCGAGCAACATTACCCCTGGACAGGACTCTCTCTTAGTAGACATTTGCTCATTTTCTACTATTGATGCTGATGTTCCATTCTAAGGCCCATGTTTGGAAGCTACCCAGGTATTCTTGTAACGCCTCTGTGGCAGTGCATATAAGAGGACTTCTGGTCAGCACAGCAGTGTCATCTGCATACGTGACAATAAGGACATCCTCCCTGTCCACTGCCTTGTGGGACTCCGGCGCATATGGGTCGATTTGTCGAATTTTCACCATCGACGACTACGCAAAATGTTCTATCCTTCAAGAAGCTACTCACTAACTGGAATAATTGTGGCGTTAAGAGGCTCTTTAATTTGCTGAGGAGTCCAGGGTGCCATACTTTATCGAAGGCTTGTTGAATATCCAAGAACGCTGCCACCACATATTCTTTGTCCTCCATGGCTTCCAGTGCAAAATTGACTACTCTGTTGATGAGATGCTGAACCAGGTCACGAAAAGCATTGTTAGCTTCCATCGCCTCTTGTATCAGTTTGAACATTTGATCCATTCTCAAATTTAAGTCCTGAATTGATTTCTCTAATGGACTTTTTACTAAATCCATCATCTATTTATTTTTCCTTTATTGTGACGACATTTTTCTCAGCAGTCTTTTTATGTACTACGTTACCTGACCTTGCCATGTCAGCATAAGAAAAGCCGTTTTGGACAACTGCGGCCGTTGTTTTGCTTCCGAGAAAACGTAAGCCCATTTTCTGGTAAACCAGCAACTGGCTTAAACTTTTTGTTTTTTTCCATTCTTACTTTGCAGGCCTTGAAACTAGCTATGTGGTTAGCACATGTGTTGCTGTCACTCAACCTCAACTCACAAGATGCGGAGTCGGTACGGTGATCCCCTGCGCAGATGCCACAGACTGGCTTTTTAAGGCAATAGTTCCGCGTATGCCCAAAGTCCTGACCATTAAAACATTGCACCAACTCGTTATTGGGTTATTTTAACTGCTTCGGCTACATTTGAGGTACGTTTGATATTAACGTAAAACATATTTGGTCTAGTCTTCGCGTTGTTTATTTGCTCATCGTCCTCCTCGTTGATCGGGATGTGGCGCCAGTCCGGTTTTCTTGGGCAATATATGTTGAGGACTGTGAATCCTTTATCCGACAATGTGTGCTCTATAAGATCTTTTGGGACATTGGCGTGAATGTCCCTTAGTACTAGTCTATAAGGTTTATCAACCCGCAGCTGGTGGTGCCAAAACTCACAGTTTAGTTGGGTTAGCGTTCTAACAACTGATCGAAACGCTTGAGCATTGGCAGTATAGGTACACGTGACTCCGAATTTGGCTGTTCGCACGTCGTATTCCTTGTCTGTTACAACAGACTTGTTAACTTGGGGCACACAGATTGCTGGATGCTTAGGAGACGACTTATTTTGGTTCGTGCGGTCAGATTGATTATTTGCGCTGGTTGAGGGGCTATTCTCTGCACTATCTGATAAGGAATCCAGTTCCATGACGTTGTCAGCTTCCTCAGCTAGGGCTGCATATCGGTTATTGCGAAGAGCACCAGCGGCAGAGTCAGAAGTAGGGGCTGCATCTGGCCGACCACTTATTATATTAATAGGTGTTAGTTTAGCTTTTTTAATTGTTCTAGATGCCTTAGCTTTTCCTGTCTGATTCCTTCGAACAGACATGAGTGACATCTGGAATGGGCAGTTTATTGGGTTATCTTGCGCAGAGCAGACACTCCCAGCAGCAGATGTTGCTACAGTGATGGATAGAATACTTGGCTTTGATAGCGTGATATTACTAGTAGCATGTGTAGTGCTACTTGTTGTTATTGCCCAGCTACTATTAGGCTGTGTCAGGCCGATGTGACTTGATGTGCTCTGGGCTTCATTTAGCTTTATTGCTCCATCTCTAATAATTTTCGCTCGTATCTCCGCAGGTGAGTCACGGGCGATTCCTCTCATCCTCTCATACTCATTTAGCCAGTTACTTGGCTGCGAGTGAGAATGTGAGTTTTGATCCATTTCAAAGCAATAAACTATATTTTTCTTAAGAAAAGTATTGCAATTGCTCAGCAATCATAACGCTTGCTAAAGTTGCTTTTGACTTGCCTTTGCAAACAATTGTTAGCACAACCAAAACAAAAGATAAAATTGCTAATAAGAGCTCAAGCGCTGTTCAAAGTTTTATTGGCCCACGTGTGCTACTGCGCGGAGGGCTATTGTCTTGCCCAGTGGGCAAGCACAACACTAACAACAGCACCTTTTTATGTTATTGTTATTATTTCCACGCTACGGATGCCGACACCGCCTGCAGACGATGTCCAAAAATATAACGTATGCTAAGATAACACATAGTAGAATGCAAAAAAGTGCAATAACAATGATTAGTTTCGTACTTAGTGCAGAGCGCGACGCGACCCTCAGCAACGAATGCAAAAAAGAGACTGAGCCGCTTTTTCTAACAATCGTGTTTTTCTGAATTATGACAGTAAATAAGCTATATGCACACAAAATATATTTGGATAGGTGTTACAAGTTAGAATGCTATATTCGGTACAAAACATTATTGCTGGAGCGAGCAATCGATGATTTGAAAAAACCCGGCCCTGAGCGCACCTGGAAAACAAGTGAACGCCTTTGGGCCTTAATAATAAGCAAAGAAAAAATGGAAAATGTCTTAAATATGCGGAGACTACAAAGAAAAAAGGGAAGAATTCATAAATTTACAAGAAATTATGTAATGAGAATTTCTTGTTGTTCAAAGAAAAGATAGAAAATAACGGGAGACAAGTGAGTGCCGAAACTCAGGGATCGTGCGCTGGGTCCACCAGCGGCGCAAGAAGAAACTGGTAGCGATCCACCGCATTCATAGAGGAGGGCGGCCACCCCCATGAGACATGGGCTCGACTTATCGAGTTGGAGGCACAGATGACATCCGAGCCGGACTTGAGAAACGCGCATCTGTACAAGCACATGCCCTTACCGTACCGGCCCTTTCGTTAAGTGCCCCAGGTGTATTGAATGTTGCTATTCAGGAGGAGGTGGCTTGAAAGTCTACACTATACTACCACAGTATTCTATACCACAAGTGACATATAGGACAGTGAAAGTGGTACCAAATTACAGTTTTGGTGGACTGTTCGTAGCCGTGTCTACTCTCTTTTTACTTACCCCAATTAGGGCTCGTATTACCAGGTGCTGGTGGTATACCTCTTGGCTTTGTACAAGTCCCCTGATTGAGCTTTTCGCCACTCGAACTAGCTGGTGTCCAATCCTAACCTTGGGCAATCACCCAGGGTTACCAAATTTTGTCTTGGAGTCGACTTTACTAATAATTTACGAATTACACATATTGTGCTTGTTCTTCTACATCGGTTCATTGAGGCGCAGTAGAGGTGACCAGGGCAGAATAATTGCTGCGGGCAGACAATCGACACTGGAACAATACGTAGCTTCCTGCGCGGAGACTGCCTGCGCAGGTGCTCTATTCAGGGGAAGGTGCAAGAAGTGCGGACGAGCATTCGTGTAGCAGGCGGGACTAAGCTAGGAATAGCCAAGGCCCTCCATAATGGACCATATCATCCAGTGCATGGATATTCTTTATGCAATAGGCAGTATGATCATGCTGCACTAGTCTTGACCTGGGCTTCTAGGTAGATAGGCATCACTTGAAGGCCCTCCCAAGCAACAAAGAGCAGTGAGTAGAGCTGTAGAGTCAGCCGAGGTATGCCGGAAGACAGAAGAAATATTAGTGTAGATCGGAAGTCACTGAAAGGGCCAATAGCGGCCTTATAAGAGTATAGTGAGTCCTCCGTACTGCGTACTCTATTTCGGTTCTACAAATAACAAGATCCTAATGCGGTAACGTCATATCCGCTACATTTCGAAGGTGGAATTGCAAAAGCTTTTAGTGGAATTTCGAGGCCAATGCGAGCGCACAGCTTAGATGAGAGCCATTGAATCCAAAACTCTTTTTCAAACTACTTGATGCAAGATAACGAGGTTGCAAACATAAATTGGACACACAACTACTACTTCTGCCGTTGCCCAAAAAATCAAAGACAACTTCATTTTCCATAAAAACCATATACAACAATAATCAAAACAAACGACTCGACACTAAAAAAAAAAAGGCAACTACAAATTCAGTCTGCTATCCCTTTTTGTTTTGGGCTACAGTATCTGATCTAGGCTTCTGCACTCTTATAACGCATTGCTGTTTTTTTTAAGAACTGCTATGCCTGTGATTCGCAAAGTCACAAAGTCATGTCTTCTACTTCTCCTCTCGCTTTCAACTTGCAAGCAGATCGGCAGGTTTTAATAATTTTTCTTTTTCGGACCAGCAAAGCACCCTTTCTCCAAATAGGCTATTTTAACTATTGATCAGTGCTGTAATCAAAGACCATTAACCTTCTTATATAACAATTTTTACCCAATGTTTTATAACAGTTTTCTTTCAATTTTATACACTATTATAAGGTTCTGTAAAATAATAAAACCGTTTTCTTTTGATTGATAGTTTATTAGCAAACGTCCTAACTCGTCCTACATTGAGCATATATATATATCGCTAGACAAGGGAATGGTATTTGCAACGTCTGCATATTCTGCGCTATGGTCACGCCACTTATGAGTGGACGATCATATTTCAAATGCACTTTGGATTGCGTTATGTTTAGCAACAAAGTGTCGCTAAATGGGTTATTGTTTATTTAATCTGATATACCCTTACATTGTACCTTACCCTTATACATATATGTTGCTCATGCTTCACCTCGCTTGTTTTAAAAATAACGTAATATTCTATTTGTGGTTATTTAAAATTATAGTTATTTGAGGGAACATTTTTTAAATTTAATTCTAAATAAGTAATTATTGAATTTAAAAAAAAATTCTTAAGCATAATCATCTGCATTATATCAAGGTTCAATGTGTTCATTAACACTATTAAATGCCTTGTTAATGTTTGCGTTTTTGCTAAAAATTAGTTCATATGGGCAGTAGCTGTGCGTTGTGGAAGGTGTTGTATTGAAACAATAAACAAAATATTGTAGCCAAGTATCCCAATCAGTTTTATTAACTGATATGTAGGAACGAATGCATCCGTTGAATGTTCTATGGGTTCGCTCTACTGTTCCCAAAGTCGGGTGGTAGTGTGCTGTTGAAGTTATGTTTTTGATACCAAAGTATTTACATAACTGAGTTTTTGTATTCTGTTCTTATGTCCGTAATGAACGTCTTCATTGGACCATATTTCAGAATAAACTCTTCGAAAATAGCTTTTGCTACAGTTTTTGCACTTTGTTTGGTATTGGTATGGCAACGAGGTATTTTGTTAAATGGCATATCAGTTTGACTGCGTATTCATTACCTTGTTCTGATTTTGGTAGTGGACCGATCGTGTCTATTACTACTCTATCAAAGGCCATAATTAGTGTCTCTGTTAGTGTTGAAGGAGTTCGAGTGTGCGTTGACACTCTTGATTTGTGGCATTTTGGGCACTTTTTCACATAATTCGTGATATCACGCGTCATATTTTTCCAATAGTAATGGCGTTTTATTTTTGCAATTGTTTTTGTTGTTCCCGTAAGCCCTCCTCGAATTGGATTTTCATGGAATGTACACAGTATTTCTTCGATTTCTTTATTACTTTTTATTGTGGTAACCAGCTGGAGTAGCGCTACTCTTAGCTTTTTCAATTTCTTATTGCCTTTGGAAAAATCGATCTAAATCAAAGACTCCATTGGTATAGGGATCAACAACATCAATTCTTGCAAAAATCTTTCTTTTTAAGAAACATTTGGCCAAATTTAAATGCAAGGTCACTACTTTCTTAACATCATCATTTCGAATGACGCTATATATATTGGGCATCAAAGTGTCCGGTTGCTTTTGCAATTCGGATTTTGGTCCTGCGCAGGATTTATTCTGTCTACTTTTACTTCTTGTAGTGACTTTTAGTACGTTAGCTGATATTTTTTTTAATTCTTTTATTGTGATGCGTGATAATGCATCAGCAACGAAATTGTCTTTGTCCTTGAGATATTCTACAGTAAAGTCATACTATTCTAAGTCTAATCTCATTCTTGTTAATTTTGAACTTGGATTTACCATTGAACAAATATGTCAATGGTCTATAATCTGTTTTGATTTTGAAATGTTGACCATATATATATGGTCGAAAATGTGCTATTGCCCAGTGTATTGCTGCCAACTCTTGTTCGGTTGTATTTTTATTGATTTCTCCTTTTGTAAATGAACGAAATGTCAATGGTCTATAATCTGTTTTGATTTTGAAATGTTGACCATATATATATGGTCGGAAATGTGCTATTGCCCAGTGTATTGCTGCCAACTCTTGTTCGGTTGTATTTTTATTGATTTCTCCTTTTGTAAATGAACGAAAAGCATATGCCACAGGCAATTGCTTATCTCCATATGTTTGAGTTAAAACTGCTCCGCAGGCTAATTTACTGGCATCTGTTATGATGCAAAATTCATTTCTACATTTTGGCATTCAATTGTTATTCGAAAGCAAGGAAGGAAAGAACGAGAAGTATTGGGCTGTTATATTCCGATACAGAGGGTTCTACAATTTTATCCGAGATGAGTTTTTCGACTTGTTTATTTACTTCTTCTTTATGAATATGAGGAATTCTGTAATTTTTTATGTACACTGGCTCAGTATCTTTAAGTCTCAATTCTTGTTTATAAAAATTGTTAGTTGTTATTGATTCGGTTTCAAGTCCGAATATGTCAGTATACTTGGTGCAGATTTCCATTTCCATTTCCTGGCAATCTTTGCTAATTTCGTGGACTGTTTCAAAGTCACTTAGCTTTTCTATTTTAATGTCGTTAAGATTTACTATTTTTATTGAATTTGTTATATTTTAAATTCGGACAAATGTTTGTTGATTTTTGGAAATATTATTTCCAATGAATATTCTTTTATTAATTTCTTGTATTTCCAATGAATATTCCTTTATCAATTTCTTGATTCGGAATGAAAATATTGTTTTCTGGCAAAACAAAATTGATTTGACAGACTACTTCAGAACGAGCTGGAAGTATTGTGGCATTATTATCACAAGTGTGAATTATTGGTAGTTTTATTGGATAATTTAAATTATTTGGCCGAAGTATTAGAGAATCACATGTTTGTGTGAAATCTAATTGACAATTATATTTTTTAAAGAATCTATACCAATAATGCCATCGCTAGGTATTGGAAAATCTTGTCCAACTATATGAAATTCGTGTGGAATGACATATTTTCCTGTAGATAATTCTACGAATACTAAACTTTTAGAAACTACTGAACCTTCACCAACCAAATATTTGGGTTGATATGTTTGAATTTATATTTTCAAATATATCAACATCTTTTTTTAATAGAGATTTGTCTGCACCAGTATCTAGCAATAGCGTAAATGCTTTGCCGGTTTTTTCATTATTTATTTTAATAAAATGACTGAGGTTTAGATTTACTGTGTGTACTTTTGTATTTCTTTGTGAATATCTTAAGGTAAAGTAACTCGAACATTGTTATTACCTTGATTATTGCCATTGTTGTGGTTGTTGCCTCGTTTGGAATTATTCCTTCCTCGGTTATGACCACGGGCATTACCTCTATAAGGTCCTCTGTTGTTGGTGTTATAATTTTGGTAATTTGGGTTATAATTACCACGACCATTTGGTCTACCTCTTTGGGTGTAATGGTAATTATTACCTCTACCCCTGCCTCTGTCATACAACACAGTACTGGCAATTCCGGTCATTTCAGTGCTGCAATGGATATATTTGTAGAGAATTTTTCTGCATTGTAATGGTCTAAGCCATCATCAATATATGCTGCTTCGAGTTGCTTTCGCAAGTTGTCGATTTCAACGGTATATTGTGATGATGTTTTACCTTTTTGTTTAATGTTAAAAAGTTTCGCTTTTAATACGTCAGGTGATTCACCTTTGACGTTACCCTTTAGTTTAGATATTATGACAGAGATTGTAGTTTCATCGTGTACCTTGTACAAGATTGGCCCAGTTATCTTTGATTTGATTGCCTTTTGGTTGCCTTTTGTTCTCTCAACTATGCGTAGAGCTGTTAGGAACCGACTGAGTGACAGTTTTTTTACCGTCAAATTCAGGGATAGATGATGAGACTTGTTTCACATATTCCCTATCCAAGGCTACTTGTTGTGCCATTTTGTCGTTTTCCTCGATCGTTTCTGTATCGCTGTTGATTTCTGTGTCTATTAGTGGTTTAGACTCATCTAAGTCGTTAAGCTGGGTTTCATTAAAATCAGCCAATAGAGTTAGATCTTCTGGAACATTTATTTTAAGGTTCTGTCTAATACCGATAGCTTTCAATCATGTATTTAAGGATTGTATAAATTTGAGACACTGTGTGGAATGCTCTTGTGTGAGGTTATCTTGAAGTTCATTTACTGCCTGTACTATGTTATTATATTGTTTTACCAATATCTGAACATGGTATATTAGTGTTTCGACTTTAATCGGTGTATCTTTATTAACGCATTTGTGTGACTTATCAAATTGATCTTTGAAGTCTTTAATGGTTTTCGCTAATGTATTCCATTCCATAATATTTTAGGAATGCTTAACGATGCAGTCGCACAAGAAATATTATTGCTGGCCCTTGTATCGGGTGGTTTTGATTTATAATTTTTTACTTGTACATATGGCAATGTACTAAGTAAGTATAAGGTTTTTTGATTATTTTATTGTGTTTTATGTAAATGGTCAACAAAAATTGACAAGCTGATACGATTGTTAAAATGAACAGTAAGTTCCACAAAGATTGTATATTTTCAGTGTGATCTACGGTTTTGACATTATTGACCACGTTGGCCGTATTGTCTTTTGTTTGACTGTCGCCACTGCCAAACCAACGCATATTGGAAAAGTTTATGATTTTTCAACAACATTTATATTTACTAACTCTGAGAGCAAGTGGAAATAAACTAAAGAAAATCTATCAATGGCCTTCCTTTTTTTGAATGGAAATTATTTTTTTTTTTTTTTAAATTTATTTTACTTTATTAGTTTCTGTCAATTTTAATAATTTGTCTTTGAAAACTGTTCAATAATTGTAAATTTCGATTTTAAACTAATTTAGGAAAAGGAAAGTGTTGTGTTTTTGTTCACTTTTTAAACAGCAAACCACAGTTTAAAAGCAAACCACTGTCACGGTCGCCATGTAAAATAATAAAACAGTTTTCGTTTAATTGATAGTTTATTAGCAAACGTCCTAACCCGTTGATTAAATTTTTTCGACTGATGTGTCGTTCAATTATATGTTTGTTCTTAAGTCTAACATTAGAGTTTTTGTATATAAGTCTCAGTCGCTGAGTACAGCGGCAGAGCGGGAGCATGATATATGCATCCACTTAAAGCATATATATTGAGCATACATATATATCGCAAGACAAAGGAATGGTATATGGTCCCGACGATCATATTTCGAATGTACTTTGGATTGCGTTAAGTTTAGCAACAAAGTGTCGCTAAATGGGTTATTTTTTATTTGATCTGATGTACCCTTACATTGGTTGGGTATGTATTATATATATGTTGCTCATACTACAGGTCTGCCAAACCAAGGGAAGTATATGAATTTAGGAAAATTGCAACATTTTGTTTCGCATATGACGTCACTGCTTAAGGCTTTTTATGATCGATCATTGCTTACAGCAAATTTGTACATTTTTCAAAAATTACTTACTATGAAAATCCCTATTTATAAATTATTTAAATGAACGTAATGATTATAGAAATATATACTTATAAGCACTAGAATTAAAATTCTATGAAATGTGACGTCATATTTGTTGTGTTAATGCGCCGTGCGCTTAACCCAATGAATTAAATGCCATGGCCTGCAGGCATTCGAATTTTCTGCCTATACATTATGTGTCCTTTTTTTTATACCCTGAACCAATTGAAAATGGGTGCAAATGTATGTTACAGGCAGAAGAAAGTATCTCCGACCCCATAAAGTATACATATTCTTGATCAGCATCAACAGCCGAGTCGATCTAGCCATGCCCGTCTGTCCGCCAGTCCGTTCGTCCGTCCGTCCGTATGTATGAACGTAAGGATCTCAGAACCTATAAGAGCTAGAGACTTGAAATTAGCTGTAGTTCCTCCTAGTGCCCGCGCAGATCGAGTTTGTTTCCGATATTCGATAACTTGCCCCGTTTTCAAGTAATCGATAAAAATCGATATCAAAGAGAGCTAGAGTCACCAAACTAGACATGTAGCTTTTTGAATAGAATATACATATCAAGTATCTTTCATTTTATAGCTATCCCCACCTTCCCGCTACTACCTCATAGCTATAAATCAAGTAAAAACACCAATTTATGCTGGCCACAAATATAAGCTACAATTTAAATGCAATTGACTTTTTGATAATGCACGAATATTCTATAGTATTATACAATAAGATGTACTGTGGAAAATTGCATAAAGATCGGTTAAGAACAACAGAAGTGTTTACGGAAAACGCGTTTTGACATTTCTCCTATTAGGGGCAACAAGCACAAATTCCAAGAATTTCTGTATACATGTACACACACACACTTTCACGCGCGCCTTTTCTGAATTCTCCCATCAGCATTGCAATTGCGATTGTATTGTTCTCTGTGCTGCTATTTTATTTATTTTTTCTCATTAAGTATCAATAATTAGTGTGGCTGTTGAGTAGAAGCGTTTGCAAATAGTCGGGAACTCCCGACTAGAGCCTCTTACTTGTTATACCCTTGCAGAGGGTATTATAATTTTGTCGTGAAATGTGTAACGCATAGAAGGAGACATCTCCGACCCCATAAAGTATATATATTCGTGATCAGTATCAACAGCCGAGTTGATATAGCCATGTCCGTCTGTCCGTCTGTCCGTCTGTCTGTTTCTATGCGAACTAGTCTCTCAGTTTTAAAGCTATCTTTATGAAACTTTGCAGAATTCCCTCTTTCTGTTGCACGCAGCTCATATGTCAAAACCAGCTGGATCGGACCACTATATCATATAGCTGCCATAGGAACGATCGGTCGAAAAGTAGGTTCTTGTATGAAAAACATTTTTGTTTATAAAGTTATCTTGACTAAACTTTGTATTTATTAGTTTTACTACGCTCCCCATATATATGCAAAATCCTATTAAGATCGGGCAACTATATCATATAGCTGCCATAGGAACGATCGGTCGAAAATTAAGTTTTTGTATGGAACATTTTTATGTTTTTCAAGATATCTTGACCAAACTCGGTATTTATTAGTTTTACTAGGCTCCCCATATATATGCAAAATCCTATTAAGATCGGACCACTATATCATATAGCTGCCATAGGAAAGATCGGTCGAAAATTAAGTTTTTGTATAGAAAATGTTTATGTGTTTCAAGATATCTTAACCAAACTCGGTATTTATTAGTTTTACTACGGTCCCCATATATATGCAAAATTCTATTAAGATCGGACAACTATATCATATAGCTGCCATAGGAACGATCAGTCGAAAATTATGCTGTTGTATGGAATTTTTTTGTTTTTCAAGATATCTTGACCAAACTCGGCATTTATTAGTTTTACTATGCTCCCTCCACTTATGCAAAATCTTATTCACATCGGGCAACTATATCATATAGCTGCCATAGGAACGATCGGTCGAAAATTAAGTTGTTGTATGGAAACCTGTTTTGTTTTTCAAGATATCTTAACCATACTCGGCATTAACTATTTTCCCTGTGCTTCTTAGATACGGGCAAAGCACTATGAGCATTTTGAAAAGGTTGGGTCTGCAAGGGTATTAAATCTTCGGTGTGCCGAAGATAGCACTTCTTTCTCGTTTTTTGTTTGATTTTGCGTTTGAAGACCTACCCGATTCACCACGCATTAATAAAAGCACATAGTGACTTTTCATCTCCTTCTATTTATTACTCAATGGCTGAGAGAGAGAGATCTCTTTGTGACTCAATGCGTAAAATAATACAGGCAGTAACAGACATGTCCTCGCAAAAAGGGGACAGAATACACTATGTTTTTTTGGAGCGTAGGAATTCCAGACAGTAGAGAAGGTGTTCAGATATAACCATTAAATATTACAATAGCTCGTAGTAATAGTACGAGGCATGGCCCACCGTCCATGATAATAATCCCGTCGTTGAATAGTTGTATTGTGGCCCGCAGCAGTTGAGAGAGATATGTACTTATGAATTAGCAGCACTCGACATACGATTAATTACCCTTGCAGAAATGCGACTCTGAAGCTTTTTTTTATTTTAAGCGACACAACAAAACTGTTATAATATATAATTCATTCATTCTTGTCATTTAAGTTTTTATTAAATAAAAATTTTTCTTACACATAATAGACCATTTGAATTAATGTTTGTGCCTTTTGCTGCCGCTAAGACAAAAGGGTATACTAAATAAACGATGGCACCGCCCACTCATGCAAGAAAATATCTCAGACCCGCGACAAACGCATTGATCGACTTGTGCGCACATCCACACAATACTTACGTACGTATGCATGTGCACACACACATATAGCATGTCTCTACGCTGTAAGGAATTGAAAACAAACATACATATATTCGGCGTTCGGAAACTCTCAGGAATCGTGGATAACAAAATGAACGTAAGCGCTAATGAAATTGTAAATAGGTTGGCAAGCCTCTCGTGCACTTGTCGCAGCAGCTGTTCGTTGTTGATCAAGGCGAAGCAAAGAATTATTTCTGAGCCACAGCCAAATAACCTTGCAATTTATATAAATTCGGTAAATAAAACTAATTTATAACGTGTTGTTGTGAAAAGCCAAAATTGACTTTTTTTCTTAGCTAAAGCTTCAAAACAGTTACTAAAAAACATTAGTAACTTAACAGTATGGCTTAGATGGATTGAAAAACAAAAAAGTTTTCCATACAACAACTTAATTACGACCGATCGTTCTATGGTTCTTATATGATATAGTGATCCGATCTTAATAGGATTTGCATATATAAGAGGAGCATAGAAAGCAAACAAATTTTCCATACAACAACTTAATTTTCGACCGATCGTTCCTGTGTCAGCTATATGATATGATATATGATATGATATGATGATAAAAAGAAAGAGGGACTTCTGCAAAGTTTCATAAAGATAGCTTTAAAACTGAGAGACTAGTTCGCATAGAAACAGACAGACGGACGGACATGGCTAGATCGACTCGGCTATTGATGCTGATCAAGAATATATACTTTATGGGGTCGGAGATGCTTCTGATTCTGATTTTCCTATTTTTCTCCAAATTCCTTATGTTAATGCAAAAAAACTATCTGTCAATATTTTTTGCTATATTCTCCCACTACTAAATTGTGGCTATATTTCAACATTTTTCTACCTACATATTTTTTTTTTCTCCGATAACGGCCCCAAAAGCACGGAAGCTACCAATATATATGTAGATCTCAAATTATTAATAATTTTACTGTTTTAATCAAAAAAACGTCTAGCCAGTTTTTGCGATATTCTCATTTTCCTATTTTTCTCATAATATCCAATGTTAATGCAAAAACCCCTGCTGGCAATATTTTTTTAAACATTCTCCTACTACAAATGCTGGCAATATTTTTTTGTAACAATGTTTAACAGAAAACGTATTTAATAACGCCTGAGGACTCAAGCAGGCTTGGCGAAACATCACCTAAGCCAACTGTGTTGTAATAAAATTGTATGCTATTTTTTATCCAATAAAATAAACAAAACAAAAAAGAAAAAACAGAAAAAGTATTTACAACAAAAAACATAATGGCTTCAAGAATCGCAAAATCGTAAGATTTTATTTTTTGATTAATTCTTTTACACTTTTTAAAATTTAATGGAAAGGTTATTGTTTGGTCAAGTAACCAGCAGAGACCACACCGACGGTTGCGTCCTGTAACAGCAGAAGAACAATCATAATTGCAGCCTAAGAGCAAATAATGTTTCCGCGTTCTTTGTAAGCTGCTGCCCACTCTCTTTCGTTGGCCCTTTGCCTTCTGCATTGACGCCGCTGCCCATCGTTCTGAGCGGAGCTCCATTTCGTTCGCTTTATATACCATTAATTTTATGTTTTTCGTTTGATCGCAACTTAGGCACAATTAATTTTATGTTTTTCGTTTGATCGCAACTTGGGCACAACTAATTCGAGTTGGCTGCCAAGCAAACATATAATAATTAACACAGTCTAGTAACTGCCCAGCGCGGCAAATAAATACATTTGACACAAAAAATATAGGTCTTTGAATTTCGGTGCACACAAGCAGTGAGAACTAATTAGTTGCAAAAAGGCTTGCAACCTCACAATTTGGTGAGCCCGACGTGATTTCTTCTCTTTCGTTCGTTTCGCATTAACTTTTATTGCACGATTTGGTTTGTGTACACACACTTTCTTTAATAACTTCTGTTTCTTAACCGATCTTGATGAAATTTGCAACAGTAGATCTTATTGTACCATAAAATATTTGTATATTCTCAAAATGTCAATTGCATTCAAATTGTGGCTTAAATTGGTGGGCGATACAAATGGGTTTATTTACTTGATTTATAGCTGTGTGCTGATAGCGGGGAGGTAGCGATAGCTATAAAATGAAAGATACTTGATGCATACATATACACTATTCTAGAAGCTACATATCAAGTTTGGTGACTATAGCTCTTATTATTATTTACCAAAATTGCTCTAAAAACAGGATTTCGATATCGATTTTTATCGATTAACGGGGCAAGTTATCGAATATCGGAAACAAACTCGTACTGTGCGGGCACTAGGAGGACCTACAAAAATTTCCTACTCAAAATTTCAAGTTTTCAGCACTTGCGTATATGGTTTGAGATTCTTCATACAAACGGACGCACTGACGGACAGACGACCATGGCTAGATCGACTCGGCTATTGATCAAAGAAGCTTCCTTCTGCCTGTACATACATTTGCACATGTACATTATTCCCCTTCCGCCCATTTTTAATGGGTTCGCGGTATAAAAATGCACAGACACATAAATACGGTGCATGGGATGGGATTAAAAATAGGAGCCAGTATATATTTACAATTGCGTGAAAGTCTATATAATCAATCACGTACAAAATGGAAGTTACTCTACACGTAACCATCAAGTACCTATTTTCATTTGTTTAAACATACATTTCTATATAATATATGCATTCATATATACATATTCATAAGCGATTTTTTTTTAATAGAAAAAAATGTATGTAAACAGTCTAAAAGCACAGAAATACATTTTTGCAATACTAATTTTCATTCATTTGTATGAGAATGAATGAGTATTTATTTAGTATTTACACTTATACATACAATGTATGTACATACACACAATGTATGTACATACATGAAAAGTATGTACATACATATGTAATTACTGAATTTGGCATATAATTATAGATATTAAATTATTTGACAACACTTTCATAAGGAACTCGAAAAATGCACATAAGAACTATATATGTAAATGGATTATAGCTTATAATTTGCAAGACAACTAAGACAACAAAAAGAATCGTTTAGTAGTTTAATCGAATTCCTCTGAATGAATTCGATACTCACCAGGGTTGCCAGGGCAGCTTTTTTACCGTCAAATTCTGGCATTTTTACAAAAAAAGTTTGATTTATCCTGCTTATTGCTTATTGTATGTTAAATTTTAATACTTAACTTAAATCTTTATGAATATTTATCAAATTTAACATATTTAAAAATTTATAGACTGTCGCATAGAACAATTTCATTTCTATATTATTTACAAATTGTAAGTTAATTTTCCAGTGTGCTATAACGCCAAGGAATATAAACATATGTATGTACCGCTAGGTAACAGCCCAGCTCTTAAAAGACAGCTTACTCTATCCTATCAACTGCCATAAATATATACAAAACAAATTTAAATATAATAGTTTTTTCTAGAGTTGTGTCGTTTAGTTCAGACCAAGTTCTAATGAACGGGTCAATAAAATGAACTACTGAACTTCAGAGCAAACTCAGGGCAACTCGTGCAGTCTTTCATAAACGATGCATATCTACATACGCGTCAAAATAGCGACATTTACTTAGCGTTGATTTTTAAATCTTAAATTCGGAGCTGGAAAAAATGACATGTAAATGCATTAATTTATGTTTTGAAGCAAAAAACCAAATACATTTTAATACAGAATTTAAATTATTATCTGCTATTTTGTTCGCTTTACATATCGTTAAATTTATGTTTTTCGTTTTATCGCAACTTAGGCACAATTAATTTTATGTATTTCGTTTGATCGCAACTTAGGCACAATTAATTTTATGTTTTTCGTTTGACCGCAACTTAGGCACAACTAATTCGAGTTGGCTGCCAAGCAACAATATAATAATTAATACAGTCTAGTAACTGCCCTGCGCGGCAAATAAATACATTTGACGCAAAAAATATAGGTCTTTGAATTTCGGTGCACACAAGCAGTGAGAACTAATTAGTTTCAAAAAGGCTTGCAACTACAAACTTTGGTGAGCCCGACGTGATTTCTTCTCTTTCGTTCGTTTCGCATTAACTTTTATTGCACGATTTGGTTTGTGTACACACACTTTCTTTAATAACTTCTGTTTCTTAACCGATCTTGATGAAATTTGCAATAGTAGATCTTATTGGACCATAAAATATTTGTATATTCTCAAAATGTCAATTGCATTCAAATTGTGGCTTAAATTGGTGGGCGATACAAATGGGTTTATTTACTTGATTTATAGCTGTGTGCTGGTAGCGGGGAGGTAGCGATAGCTTTAAAATGAAAGATACTTTATGCATACATATACACTATTCTAGAAGCTACATATCAAGTTTGGTAACTCTAGCTCTTATTATTATTTACCAAAATTGCTCAAAAAACAGGATTTCGATATCGTTTTTTATCGATTAAGGGGGCAAGTTATCGAATATCGGAAACAAACTCGTACTGTGCGGGCACTAGGAGGACCTACGTTCAAAATTTTAAGTTTTTAGCTCTTGCGTATATGGTTTGAGATTCTTGCCTTCATACAAACGGACGGACAGACGACCATGGCTAGATCGACTCGGCTATTGATCAAAGAAGCTTCCTTCTGCCTGTACATACATTTGCACATATACATTATTCCCCTTTCACCCATTTTTAATGGGTTCACGGTATAAAAATGCACAGACACATAAATACGGTGCATGGGATGGGATTAAAAATAGGAGCCAGTATATATTTACAATTGCGTGAAAGTCTATATAATCAATCACGTACAAAATGGAAGTTACTCTAAACGTACCCATCAAGTACCTATTTTCATTTGTTTAAACATACATTTCTATATAATATATGCATTCATATATACATATTCATAAGCGATTTTTTTAACAGAAAAAATGTATGTAAACAGTCTAAAAGCACAGAAATACATTTTTGCAATACTAATTGTCATTCATTATTTGTATGCGAATGAATGAGTATTTATTTAGTATTTACACTTATACATACAATGTATGTATATACACAATGTATGTATATACATACATTACGAATATTTATCAAATTTAACATATTTAAAAACTTATAGAATGTCGCATAGAACAATTTGATTTCTATATTATGTACAAATTGTACGTTAATTTTCCAGTGTGCTATAACGCCAAGGAATATAAACATATGTATGTGCCGCTAGGTAACAGCCCAGCTCTTAAAAGACAGCTTACTCTATCCTATCAACTGCCACAAATACATATATACAAAACAAATTCAAATACAATAGTTTTTTCTAGTTGTGTCGTTTAGTTCAGACCAAGTTCTAATGAACGGGTCAATAAAATGAACTACTGAACTTCAGAGCAAACTCAGAGCAACTCGTGCAGTCTTTCATAAACGATGCATATCTACATACGCGTCAAAATAGCGACATTTACTTAGCGTTGATTTTTAGATCTTAAATTCGGAGCTGGAAAAAATGACATGTAAATGCATTTACTTATGTTTTGAAGCAAAAAACCAAATACATTTTAATACAGAATTTAAATTATTAACTGCCTACATTCATTTGTTTTTGAATTTTCTAATATGGGTTAATCAAATAACCCCATTCAGATAAATTGGCTCCGAAACCGCATAAGTATATACGATTAATGCTAATAGTTTCACTTAACGAATGTCGAAAAATATTATATTAAGCGGTCAGAACGTTTTTGAGATATTTGTACACCAGTGCCAAGGCACACTTATAGTCATACAAAATGACTATAAAAAATTACCCTTGCATATGAACTTTAAAACCTTATCTCAGGGATAATGGCCTCCAATACACGTTATACCATTTTGAAAATTCATGTTCTAGGACATGTAAACACACCTCATATTGTTCATTCGAAAATTCTTTCGAACTACCAGTTCCAACGTGAACTGAACCAATGTTTGGATTCAGTGATGATCAATTGTATACAGCATTGAAGGGGACAAATTAACTTGAATTATTTGTATATAGTAAAGAAAATAAAACATTGAGTCAATTGGCCCTTTACAGCAAAACACACTTTTTAGTAAAATATTATGCTTCTATATTGGCAACAGATCATGTGGCAATATTTTAACATACTAAAACCACTAACCAAATAACATATATGTAGACTGGTCAAACCGTATATTTGTTGGTGACATTCGTTTTTTTTGCGGCTGGTCGCCTTCGTTTTTGTTCGGGTTCGAGACATGCCCGCATGCTCTCACAGCAAGAGAGTAAGAAAACATATGGCCTGTGTCGTGGAACGGCAACGCTGTCTTTTTACTCGCTCACTCTACAGGAAACTGCTGTGGCTTACTCTCATCCATATGATTTGTGCGATAGAACGGCATCGCTGTTTTTTATCTCGCTCCCACTACAGGAAACTGCTTTGGCTTACTCTCAGTGCTCTTTCAATTTGTGTATGTACCGTATAAATGTTTGTGTGTGTATGTGCCCGCAAGCAAAAATGCCCACAAATTCAATTTTTCTCAAAAGTCGGTGGCATTTCTTCCCTTTTGAGGGAACTAGTAATATGAAATAATGAAAGGGTTTGCCAAGTCGATGCGAAATTCTTTCATTTTAGCTCGTTCTTCTTCGAAAGGGTACCTAAGCGTTGGCATGTGTGCATTAAAAAGTTTTTGGACTTGCTATTCACGCATACTTGCGTATTTTGTATATGAATAGAAACATTTATGCGCTTGTGTGCATGTTGGTCCCTGCCTGCCTGTCCGATGCAAATTTGACATTATTTTTGGATTTCTGAATTTCGAGCTCTACACACACACACACAGAGACACAAATGTGTGTGAATGGGCTGATCATGGGCGCAAAATTTAAAAATATCATTATTGGCACGCGTCTGACGCGCGCCCTTCTTTTTATGATTTAGGGTTGAATTGATGAATGAATGTTGACCCCTTATTACCTACAGCAGCCCGTTGGGTAAACATTTGGCAAGCACCTGCACTTGCATATGTACATAGGTCAAGTGACTGATCACTTAAATAATTTTATGACCAGTGGATATTTGTGCAAAAATTAAAATCTTCAATTATATATGTATTTTATGTATTAATGATTTTATTGAATTATCATATTCAAGCTATTCAATTCAAACCCTAAATCATAAAAAGAAGGGCGCTCGTCAGACGCGTCAGACTACTAGCACTAACCATACAATGCATAGACTTGTCAAACGTCGGAATAATCGGATACCGATAAATCGTCAACGACTGAGCCCCATGGGTGTCCGCGACCATTTTAGTGTGCCCAGACAAAGTAAGACTGCTGAGAGTGGCAGCCGAACGCCGGCCTCGAAAGCCGAACGTTCAGTATGAAGCCGCATCTCGCTCAGCGCACAACGTTGCTGCGGCTGATGCTGTTTCGTAATATATGTATGTTAGTATTAAATCTTTTCAGCCCAAATACATACATATGTGTATATGCGTGTCCAGAGTGTGCCTCGCTCACACTTATTGCTTTGCGCACTTGTGTGCATCTCCTTCTTCCTGCATAGCTTCTCAAAAACCCCGAGATCTACAAGCATACAAATGTTTGTGTTGTGTGGATGTGCGCACAAGTAGATCGCGGCGTTTGTCGCGAGCCAGAGATTTTTTCTTCAATTGTGTGCCCTTTGTGCCTGTGGTGGCAAAAGGCACACACATTCAAATGCTCTATCATGTATTTCTTCGTCCAGTCAGGCATAATGAGAAGAATCTGATATATTTATATTTATTAAAAACTTAAATGACCTAAATGATATATTTATATATTATATTTTATTTATTATGGATGCAGACGTATGCTAGACATTCTGATCGTTTAACCCCTTTAATCCGTTGTTGCATTTTTTCCATATCAAAGTGCAAACGAGCGGCAAGTGCGGTTCACCTGTTTTCGTTGCCTGTTCACACATGTGTGCCTTACGCGGCCGCAAGCCCACCGTCGCCCAAATTTACGCACCCATAGATAAAAATATCTCTGTCTCACGACAAACCCTTGATCGGCTCATTCGCACACATTTGTGTGTGTGTCTGTGTGTAGAGCTCGAAATTCAGAAATGCCAAAAACTTCAAATTTGGTCAAATTTGCACAAACACGCACACAAACGCATAAATGCTTCCATCCATATAGTAAAGTGTGTAAGTATGTGTGCTTGGCAGGCCCAAAAAGTTATTATGCACACATGCCAACGTTCGGGTACCCTAACCCTTACACCATGCATGGAAAATAGGAGTTTTGCACATGAACAGGCCAAACCCTTTAATAATGTCACACAACTGCTTACTTGAAAGAGTACGCGTGTGCACAAGTAGCAAGTCGAAAAAATTGAACATTTTCAATGTTTGGTCTTTTCTTAAATTATTCGACAAGCCGACGAAGAATTACCCTTGCAGAAATACGACTTAGTTTTTTTTTTAAATTTAAGCAAAATTGGTCCCTACAGTAAACAAAAAAATTAAAATATAATATATAAATATATCATTTAGGTCATTTAAGTTTTTAATAAATATAAATATATCAGATTCTTCTCATTATGCCTGACTGGACGAAGACATACATGATAGAGCATTTGAATGTGTGTGCCTTTTGCCACCACAGGCACAAAGGGCACACAATTGAAGAAAAAATCTCTGGCTCGCGACAAACGCCGCGATCTACTTATGCGCACATCCACACAACACAAACATTTGTATGCTTGTAGATCTCGGGGTTTTTGGGAAGCTATGCAGGAAGAAGGAGATGCACACAAGTGCGCAAAGCAATAAGTGTGAGCGAGGCACACTCTGGACACGCATATACACATATGTATGTATTTGGGCTGAAAAGATTTAATACTAACATACATATATTACGAAACAGCATCAGCCGCAGCAACGTTGTGCGCTGAGCGAGATGCGGCTTCATACTGAACGTTCGGCTTTCGAGGCCGGCGTTCGGCTGCCACTCTCAGCAGTCTTACTTTGTCTGGGCACACTAAAATGGTCGCGGACACCCATGGGGCTCAGTCGTTGACGATTTATCGGTATCCGATTATTCCGACGTTTGACAAGTCTATGCATTGTATGGTTAGTGCTACTAGCCCGTATTTGAGAAATTCTGAGTTACCTATTTTTCTAATACAAATGCTGGCAATATCATTTTTTAACAGTGTTTAACAAAAAACGTATTTACAACAAATAACATTATAATGGCTCCATGAATCGCAAAATGGAAAGATTGTATTTTTCGATTAATTGTGTTCTTGCGTTTTTACACTTTTTGAAATTTAATAGAAAGGTTATTGTTTGGTCAAGTAACCAGCAGAGACCACACCGACGGTTGCGTCCAGGTATAGCAGAAGAACAATCATAATAGCAGCCTTAGAGCAAATAATGTTTCCACGCTCTTTGTAAGCTGCTGCCCACTCTCTTTCGTTGGCCCTTTGCCTCCTGCATTAATGCCGCTGTCCATCGTTCTGAGCGGAGCTCCATTTTGTTCGCTTTACATATCGTTAAATTTGTGTTTTTCGTTTGATCGCAACTTAGGCACAACTAATTCGAGTTGGCTGCCAAGCAATGCGCGGCCAATAAATACATATGAAACAAAAAATATAGGTCTTTGAATTTCGCTGCACACATGATGACATAAGCATGGCATCTTACTTGCAGGCGAAATTTGAAACAATCTTAGACAGTTTGTTAGATGTGTGTCACGCCAGCAGAAGAGGTTCTTCATTCATGATTTGAGTCAACTATGTGTCTCTTCAACGCGAGCGCGGAGATCGACTGCGAGTCACACTTTCAAGCCAATTTTAAACGTCTGCCGACTGGCGAGTATTCGGCTCGTTGGGTGACTCCTATCAACAGGCGCTTCGTCGATTCCTTAATTTAGAGAGAACACTAGACCGCAATTCTATTTTGAATACCCAGTATGCAGCATTTATAAAAAAAAAATCTCTTGACCTGGGTCATATGTCACATCACTGCGTGCTGAAGGAGGATAGCACTACAACCAAGCTAAGGGTCGTGTTTAATGGCTCGGCAGCTACTACCTTTGGACACTCGCTAAATGACGCGCTGATAGCAGGTCCTACCATCCAACTGAATCTGTTTTCGATTCTGATGCGGTTTCGTACATTTGCAATCGCCCTCACAGGCGATATATGCAAAATTTAACGGTGCGTACGAGTCGAACCCGCAGACAGCTATTTTCAATGTATCCTTTGGCGTGAGTCTTAGCATCACAAGATACAGATTTACTAATTAGACACCGTCACCTACGGCACAAGCATCGTTTTTCTCAGTGCGGGCTATGCACCAACTGGCCATGGATGTGCACAAAACATTTGCCATTGGCTCTGACATTGTTAAAAGGGTCTTCTACTGTTGCTGAAGCAAACGTCTGGACTAGTCGCCAAGGGCAACTTTAAGCTGCCCTTAATGGTATTCTAGCGACACAACTGTACTCCAAAACATACCGGAAGAGGATAGAGTATCACTGCTTAAGTTCGACGTTGGCAGCGAAATCATGAAAACGTTAGGCCTCGTTTGGGATCCTGCATCAGACTGTTTCCTTTTCTCCTTCCCTCCACTGGGGCTACCCTCCAGACTGATAAAACGACCAATCCTATCCCCAATTGCTCGCTTTTACAACCCCTTTGGTCCTGTTGGTCCTGCAATAACAACATCTAAAATTTTAATGCAGAATCTTTGGAGAGAAAAACTGGACTGGGGTGAGAGCCTGCCTGTACACTTAAGCACAACCAGGGTCAGCTTCTGCGCTGATTTTGAACATACTCAGCAATTCCAGTATCCCCGTCGTGCACTCGCATCAGACAGTACAGTGGAGATTCACGGATTTTGTGATGCCAGCCTGAGCGCTTATGGCGCATGCTTCGTTACAGTCTTAAAGTGCCATGGCAACATCAGCGTACGTCTCTTGTGCTTCAAGTCGCGTGTCGCGCCCTTCACTGTACCAAAGCTGGAACTCTGCGGAGCTGCATTACTAGCTCAACTTCTCAGCGATATATGCCAAATGAAAGTGTTCGGCTGTCGGTATTACTTTTGGTCAGACTCTGCTGTGATTTTGGCTTGTATTCGCAATGATGCTTCTAAATTCAATGTTTTCGTCGCCAATCGGATCGCAGATGTCCAAGAGCTCACCTCTGGTATGGAATGGCATCATAGAGCGCTGCCTAGTAAACTCTGTCGGTCTTTATTAAGGGCCCATGGCCCGAGTTTTCTCAGCAAGGAAAAGGAAGGGTGGCCGTATGTGTACCTGTCGAATCCTTTCCAGAACTTCGACACAAGGTATTATTCGGAACTGCAGCGTAACTTGATCTCTCGATTGGCTTCAAGTTCATCTTGAATCTTCAAGTTCATCTCCTTGCTTGTATTTACAAATTTGTCAATCCAATCCCAGGAGCTGAACTAACTGTAGACCAAGTGCATCATGGCACACTTTTGTTGCTGCGGTCAGTGCAAATGGCTACTCTTGGCGATGACTACACGGCACTGAAGAATGGAAGGCATATCAAAGCGTCTAGCTCAATGGCCTCTCTTGCGCCATTCCTTGATGATTTCAGCTTCAGCAGTTCACTTTCATAAACGGAAATTGCATGCTGGACCTCGCGCTTTGTTGTCTTCGATTCGGCTCCAGTACTGGCCTATTGGCAGTCATAAAACAGTCTCCAGTACCAGCTGATCGTCTTGACACATCATATCCTTTTATGGTCACTGGCGTTGATTTCTGTGGACCATTTTTCTACAAGTGCGAAGTGCGCAACAGTCCACCAGTGAAATGCTCTATCAGCCGGTTCATACGCTTCGCTACAAGGGCGGTGGACTTTGAGCTTGTAAAGAATTTGTCAACAACATCATTTCTAAACGCCCTTAAACGGTTTATCCTGACTCGCTCTAGACCTTCAAGGATCTGGTCTGACAATGCGATAAACTTCGCAGGTGCCAAGAATGAGCTGGCACATCTGAGCCGCCTGTTCCTGAGTGACGAGCATGTCAAGGCTGTTCACGAGTTTTGCCTATCCGACTCTATTAAATGGTTGTTCGCTCCTCGCTCTCCACATTTTGGCGGACTATGGGAAGCCGCTGTGAACACTCCGAAGCACCACTTTTATCGCTCTGTTGGCCCTTGCATCTTGGATTTCGATTCGCTGCGCACACATCACGGCAATAACTAATTCTCGATCATTACTTCCACTTTCAGAGCATCCAGGAGATCACGACGTCTTGACACCCGCAAACTTTCTGGGAACAGCGCCATCTTCGTCATGCATTGATCCTCATCCAAGGCAGCTTAACTTTAATTTTGTACCCGTTGGCGCGAAGAATATTTAACGCTTCCTCATCAGTGCTCTAAATGGCGCACTCCTTAGCCAGGACCCTCCATTAACGATGTCGTCCTTGTAAAGGATGAGAATCTACTGCCGCTAAAGTGGCCACTAGCTAGAGTGCTAGAGCTGGTCTCGGGATCTGATTCAGACTGCGACTGGAGTCACACGCAGTGCCGTACGAAAGCTGTGTTTGCTGCCCAACCAGGATGATGACCAACGGTGGGAGAATCTTTGGTCAAGTAACCAGCAGAGACCACACCGACGACTGCGTACAATAACAGCAGAAAAACAATCATAATTACAGCCTAAGAGCAAATAATGTTTCCGCGCTCTTTGTAAGCTGCTGCCCACTCTCTTTTGTTGGCCCTTTGCCTCCTGAATTCACGCCCGCTGCCCATCGTTCTGAGCGGATCTCCATTTCGTTCGCTTTACAAATTGTTGGTCTTAAGTATTTCCTATGATCGCATCACAAGCACAACTAATTCGAGTTGGCTGCCAGGCAATAATATAATAATTAATAGATTCTAATTAGTGCCCTGCGCGGCGAATAAATACATTTGAAATAAAAAAGATAGGTCTATGAATGTGGCTGCTCACAAGCAGTAAGAATAAATTAGTTGCAAAAAGGCTTTCAACTACACAATTATAATAGTTTTGCAAAAATATATATATTAGGCAAATAGTTAAATATATTTATATATTTTTTATTCAGACTATAAACACCAGTGTTAATCAAGAATAAAGATTCCATACATAGTGTGGACATCAAAATTACAGCCGTTGCATGAAGTGCGCACTTTACGGCGTGCGTTCGTGTGCATTTTTTATATTGTGTTGCGGACTTAATATTGATATATTTATTAACTTTCCATTGGAGTAATTTTTTTGAAATCGTCTTACGAATAGTTAACGGCGTATGGACAGACATACCAATTTCATCTCGTCGCCATGACCAAGAGAATAAAAGTTTGTGTGTTTAATGTTACTCGCAAGATACGACATTTCAAAATTAAAACAAGTAGCACAAATGGAGGGCTACTATGAGGAAAATTATTATAACAACAATAATAAACAACAAAATTCTAACAATGCTATAAATTATACAGGAATTAATAAATCTCAATTTACCTGAAATAACATAACGAACAATAATCAAAGCCACAATTTTTTACAACACTAAACCAAACTTATTTTAACCAATATAAGCAACTAGCTCAGGAATTCAAACAGAATTTACAACAAGCACAAATAAAAAACCCCATAAATCAACATATTTTTCCAGGTACATATATACCAAATCAATCGTACAAATACTAGTGGTTCCCAAAAACTGCAGGTTGATGAAAATGATCAACAATCAGAAAACTATCAGGGTAACTATGTACAAGAAGAGTATGGTTGTCACAACAACCAATATGAGGAGATTCAGAATAACGAAATAAAAGACTAAAATTCTCGGGACAAGCCAGTACATAGAAATTAAAATTAATAACAGACGCTACAGATGTCTCAGATGGGTCGTCAATAAATATGATGAGGGAAAATGTCCTTAACATACCAGTTTTTACAAGACCTACTTCGATTAGACCTATCACAGGGGTATCAAAACTAAACCATTATGTAACCACTGCACTTAATAAACTCTTTAGGCAAGACCAGATATTTTATATACATGACTTTTCACCTCATTATGATATACTTTTAGGCAGAAATTTATTAAAGGCAAACGACGCCATAATTGACTACGCCCATGACAGAATAATAATTAGCGAGAGATCGTTCAACCATAATTAGTTTGGGATCCAAATTCAGAAAAAAACTTCGAAGCTTATTTAAAACCAGAAAGTTATACACAAGAAATTAATTACGCAATAAGTAATGAAATAACATCGGCACAAGATTACCGAGTTGATCATCTAAACGATGGAGAAAAAACAAACAAAACTATTAAAATTACTGAAAAATTTCAGTGACATCCAATATCGAGAAGGTGACAATTTGACCTTCACGAGCATTGTTAAGCACGAAATTAATACACATCATGAAAATCCAATTTACAAAAAACCATACGGTTAACCTTTCGCTTTCGAACAAGAAGTCGAAAAGCAAATTAAAGATACATATATTAACCGAAGGTATTATTCAGCATAGCCAGTCGCCTTATTGTGGTCCCTTATAGATAGTACAAAAAGGGCAGACGCCTCAGGAAAGGCAAAATTCAGAATAGTGGTCAATTACAGAGGATTGAACGACATTACAATTAATGATAAATTTCCCATTCCAAACATGGACGAGATTTTGGGAAAATTAGGAAGATGCTCATACTTTACAACAATAGATTTAGCAAAAGATTTCCATCAGATTGAGTTGGATAAGAAATCAATTAATAAAACAGCATTTTCTACCAAATATGGACTTTACGAGTATACTCGAATGCTATTGGGACTTCAAAATGCACCATCAACATTCCAAAGGTGCATGAATCATGTTCTTCGTGATTTAATTAAAAAGCATTGCCTTGTTTATTTGGACGACATTATTGTCTTCTTCACATCACTTGATGAACATTTAAATTCAATAAATAAAGTTTTTGAAAAATAAGAACAGGCAAATTTGAAACTTCAATTAGACAAGTGCGAATTTTCAAAAAAGGAAACAGAATTTTTAGGCCACATTATAAGTCCAGAAGGCATACGGCCAAACAAACTGAATGTAAAAGCAACACAAGAATTTCCTTTGCCTAAAACATCAAAGGAAAATAAATCATTTCTAGGCTTATGTCTTATCTTTACCTAAAGAAAGCAGCAAAAATTGACATTAAAAATGTTGAATACAATAAAGCCTTTGAAAAATTAAAACTATTAATTATGAACGACCCAAAATTAATATGTCCAGATTTTAATAAAAAGTTTCAGGTAACAACCGACGCAAGTAATTTTGCAATAGGATTACAGTACACTAGAAAAAGAGCTTTTAGCAATAGTGTGGGCAGTAAATATTATCGCCCATATTTATATGGCAGACCATTTCACATTTTAAGCGATCACAAGCCACTCGTTTGGCTAAACAACAATAAAGAACCCAACATGAAATTACAGCGCTGGCGTATCAAACTTAATGAATATAATTTCTCAATCAATTGACGAAGATAATGAAAATTTAATACATTTAACAGAAAAACCATTAAACTATTTCAGAAGACAAATAGAAATGATTAGAAGTGATACTGAAAATATAAAAATTGAAACATATTTTAAAAAATTAAGAATAAAAATCGAATATTTAAACTAAACCTTAACATTGAAAAAGCTAAACAGATATTGATAAAACATTTTTGAACACTTCAAGCGTATTATACATTGAAACGATTAAGATTTTGAAATAAAACAACAAGCCTTTAAAGAAATTAGTAACCCCAAAACAACTCGAATATTACGAACAAATATTAAACTAAAAGACAGGAAGACAGAAAAGAGCTATGCAGAATTTAAAGAAATAATAGTTAGCAACCACAAGAAATTTTTACATCCAGGTTTCGAAAAGATGGTCAGACTTTTTAAGGAAACAAAATTTAATCCAAAACATAATAACCGAATGTGGATTTTTTTAATCTAGCTAAGATTGATCACAGGAACACATCTTGTAAATTTAAAATTACACCAGAAGTGTAATATACAGTGTTATACACTTATTATCATAAGCTAAAACATAATTCTACTGGCAGAACTCCAGCTGAAATTTTCATTTACGCAGGTACACCTAATTATAATACCCAAAATATAAAAGAGACCAGAATAAAGATCATTTTGAGGAGACTAACAGAGGTGGAAAAATTAAGCATTATAAAACGAATTATCAAAAAGAAAATAAATTAAATAAGAGCAAATATTTACAGAGGGACGAAATTCCAAAACAGGACCTATAACTTTCATATTTCTGGCACTAATGATGTCAATACTATTACCAGGAAGTAATAACCAGTTTATAGATATCAACCCTATTAAATCAAATAATGGATACTTACTCTTTAAAATAGGCATGATAGACAGATAATTACGAGCACCATTGTCTCGCAATAAATTTAACAAAGACAGAAGACACAAATGACAAACTAATGTTACAGATAAACAAATATAAAGACAGAATATAAATTCAATAATTAACAGAAAAGTTGTAAAGAGAAATAAACGGTATCCGAATAGTAAAAGAAGTAAGAGAGGATTACTTAATTTTGTAGGAACAACATACAAATACTTATTTGGAACTTTAGATAAAAACGTTAAAGAGGAACTTGAAGAAAAAATTAATTTAATAGCTCAAAATAGTATTCAAATAAACGAACTCAACCATGTAATGTAAGCGGTCAACCAAGGAATAGAATTAGTAAACAAAAAAAGAGAAGAAAGAGAAGAATTTAAAGTACTGGAACTACTTGCATTCAACTTACAACAATTTACAGAATATATTGAAGATTTAGAAATGGGAATGCAACTAACTAGATTGGGAAGTTTTAATCCAAAATTATTAAAACACGACTATCTCACAAACGTTAATTCCGAAAAGCTACTTAACATAAAAACATACACTTGGCTTAGATCAGATACGAATGAAATTTTGATTATTTCACACATTCTTAGTGAAATAAATAAAACCCCATTATACGAAATTCTACCCTATCCGGACGATGATCAAAATATTTTACAAGACGTAACACAATACAAATACTACTCACATAATAATAATCTATACAACAAGGACAAGGGAAAATTAACTATTAACCCATGTATATTAGGTATAATAAAACATACTAACACTAGTTGCAGATTTTCAAAAACACATCTAATAACGCAAACTAACTATATCGAACCGAATATACTTATAACATGGAACTTACCCAAAATCACATTAAATCAAAACTGTATTAAATATGATATCTTAATTGAGGGAAATAACGTTATAAAAATCCATAATTGCTCAGTAATACTTAATGAGATATCTGTAAGCAATTTGAACTCTACACACAAAGTATATACGCAAGAAATAATATTACCAAATTAAAACAACTTTCGTACATTCAAACAAAAGAAATACTTTTCGCAAATATTAAAGAAATGAAAATATTCCAAATTATAATAATTACAGTTTTTGTAATCATCATATTAATCATAATAATGTATCTAGCATATAAGTTTAAAAATATACCCAAACAAATATTTATTAAGAAACAAAATGTTATTGATCAGCAACCTGCACGACTACCAATTAAACTTGAAATTGAAAATTAACAAGAAAATTTAAGTACGTTACCAAAATTGTATCCTAGCATTTAAAGAACATTTGTTTATTATACTTACCTTTTTCATATACCCTACACGCGTGAGGACACGCTTTATTTTTAGTGGGGAGGAGTGAGATATTCACAACAACAGAATTTTTAACCACTGTTATTCATAAGCTGCACTGCATGGTATAACCCACTGAGTGTTTACAAATTGAATAATCATAGCAATAGCACGCCTTCTGCAGCCGAATTCAAATAATGCTAACAGCAGCAAAAATTATAAGAGCAGAATGCCTTCTGCAGCCAAGCTCACATATTGTCAACAATAATTTATA